CGGGTCCAGGTTCCTCCCTGCCCCAAAGTGGCATCAAGTCCCTCACCTTTCTCCCCAAACCTCGTGTCTGGTCACAGATGGTCTTCTCGTCCCCAGACTGGCGCTGGGCTTGATGCCCCCACTCCCAAACCAGTGCCAGTTCCAGATCCCTCACCCCAAACCGGCGCCCAGTCCTGGCCCCCCCACCCAGGACCAGCACAGGCTCGGGGACCATCCCCGGGGCTCAGAACATCCCCTGCCCCACACCAGCACTGGGGCCGGGGACCCGACGTGGCCTTGCCAGCCTTCACGCGGCACAGGACCTCTCCCCAAACCAGCCTTGGGTCAGGGAGCACCCTGAACCCTGAACCAGGCTGAGGTGTTCCCCGCTCCCTGCCGCATGGCAGGCGGTCAGGGAGCACCCCTGCCCCAGTCCCAGCTCAGCCCAAAGTCAAGGACATCCCTGTCCTGTCCCCAGCCCAGCACTGGGGCAGCAATAGCCCCTTTCCCAAGATACTGCCCTGCCACGGATCCTCTGCCCCCCTGGACAAAATCAGCCCCAGGCCTGTGGCCTCCAGGACCAGGCCAATGTTGTTCCTAAAACCGGGGCTCACCAGCGATGGGGCACACCTTTCCCCAAAGCAGGACTGAGCTGGGGTCCTCTCCCAAGCCTTCGAAGCCCCATCCAGGCTGGGTGGGATCAGACCATGAAGTAGCAGGACCCTGCTGCCCTCTCCTGAGCTGGGGCTGGGTCAGGGTCCCATCTTCCCCCAGCCTGGGGAGAGCAGTGAGGGAAACCCCCAGCTCCTCTCCAAACTGAGAGTAAACCACAACGAGGTACCTGTGGATCCTGTTACCAAACCATACCTAGGTCAGTAACATCTCCCACCCAAACAGGCTTGTTTTCTCCTTACTGATCCCAGAGCCTTCCCTTTAGGTTAGATTGATCCCAAGGAATTAACATGGGATCGGTGCCAACCCTGAAATGGCTCCAGACAAAAGCTGGCTGGCTGCATGGCCCAGCAAGGGTCCCCCACAGCCACCTAAGGGCTGCCCCCAAACAGCCTCTGCCCCCTGCCCTCCTCCCCCTGGCAAGCAAATGGGCTGAGCCACCCCCAGCCCTGTGCTGCAGGAGTAACCAGCCCTGGGCTGCACTCCCAGCTCCAGAAAGGGAAGCCTGGACCCGGTTTTCCTTTGGGGAGGCTGTCCCACCCTTTCCTGCCTCTTTTCTGCATCTGCAGGGACCTCCTGGCCTGGGACTAAACCTGCTGAGGGAAGGAGAGAGCGAAGTGTGCTGTGCTGAACCATGCAGTGTGGGCTACGATCTCAGATCCAGGGCCATCTCCGAGTATTAGGAAGATGGTGTGGTGCAAAATGTTCTGTCTTTTCCCCTTTTCTGCCCAGGGAGGCCCTTGGAGAAGATGCAGAGCCGAAGGTGGCTGAGGAGGAGGAAGAGCAGAGAAGGAGCCATCAGCAGATTGAGGAGAGCAGGCAGGTGCGGCCATAGGACAGGAAGGTCCTCTCGGGTCCCTGACCTCTAGACATTTGGCTTTACCTTCCTTTTAGCTTTGTGTGGTGCTTAGTGTCACACAGCAGCATTTATCTGAGAAGAAGCAGGGACAGAAACTCCTCAGGACTGGGTGGGGGGTGATTCTTGGGCTGGATCCTGGGGATATGATTTCCCTGTGACAAACAGCCCATGGATCGGAAGGATCTGGGACGGACACCGTGCACCCAAACCCCAACCCAAACCCCTAGCCCCATCCGCACACAGAAGCAAGACAAGAAGGTGCTCTGAGCACATTCCTCTTGGTGCTGATGGCCTGCAGGGCTTTCCAGGAGAGGGAGCACCCATGGGTACACTGCAGTCATAGAATCATAGAATCGTTTAGGTTGGAAAAGACCTTTAAGATCATCCAGTCCAACCATTAACCTACACTGCCAAGTCCACACTAAACCAATCAAGGGTAGACTAGACTAAACCATGTCCCAGAGTGCCACATCTACCCGTTTTTTGAACACTTCCAGGGATGGGGACTCCACCACCTCTCTGGGCAGCCTGTTCCAATTCTTGACCACCCTTTCCGTAAAGAAATTTTTCCTAATTTCCAACCTAAACCTCCCCTGGTGCAGCTTAAGCCCATTTCCTCTCGTCCTATCACTAACTACATGGGAGAAGAGACCAACCCCCACCTCACTACAACCTCCTTTCAGGTAGTTGTAGTGAGTGATAAGGTCTCCCCTCAGCCTCCTCTTCTCCAGGCTGAACACCCCCAGCTCCCTCAGCTGCTCCCCATCAGCCCTGTGCTCCAGACCCTTCCCCAGCTCCGTTGCCCTTTTCTGAACACGCTCCAGCACCTCAATGTCTTTCTTGTATTGAGGGGCCCAAAACTGGACACAGTATTCCAGGTGCGGCCTCACCAGCGCCGAGTACAGGGGGACAATCACCTCCCTGCTCCTGCTGGCCACACTATTCCTGATACAAGCCAGGATGCTGTTCGCCTTCTTGGCCACCTGGGCACAGTGCTGGCTCAGTCCTTGCAGTGCTCCTCAAACCCTGCCATAGCATGGGAAGATGGGGCTTATGGGTCCAACCAGGCACCTCAGCATGGGGATAGGGAGCCAGACCCTGGACAGGCATAGCGAGAGTTGCTCCAGTATCCCTTCTTCCAGAGCTCAGGTCTCTGGGTGTGAAATGTGTACCACCTACTTCACAGAAGCTGGCCAAGCTGCTCTTTGACGGCACGCAGATGGTGACAAATATCCAGGTGGCTGCTGACTTGAGGGTAACGCAGAGGAGAGCAGAGGAGGCAGAGCTGAAGCTGCAGCGGTAAGAGACTGCGCGGTGGGTCTGCGCTGCTAGGTGGGAGCAGTGCAGATGTTGGTGCAGCTTTTGCAGGACATCCTAACCCTGGTCATCCAGGAATGCTTAGCAGTTAGGGCAACACTGAATTTATGTTCAAAAGGAAAATTTAGGTGCACAAAGAGCCTCCAGGTCCCACCTGCCACAGCTGGATCTTTACAGAGCTCTGCAGGTCAAGGCTGGTGGCTTCCCCAGGTGGCAATGCAGTACTACGGACTGTCTGCTTACCAATCTCCTCCAGGCCCATCACGTCTTCAGCTCCAGAGTGTGAGAAACGCAGCTGGTTGTCAGCTTTTCACCAGGAGCCTGTACCACATATACTTGTGCTCTCCTTGCTTGAGAAGCACAGGCACAGCTGCCCTTGCTTCTGGCTTGCCGAGCCGCTCTCCTGAGCCTGGAGGTGACACCGTGGTGGAGAACATTGTCACCCTGTGCAAAGAGGTGGCTCAGCAAATTGCCTGTTTCCAGAGGTTGCCCTCCAGTCATGGAGCCAGGGGCAGTTGTTAGCCGTACCATGTGAATGCCCTGGGACAGCTACATCCTGTGACAGCTACAGGCTGTGTGTGAGGAGTGGGAAGAGGGGGAGGGCGTG